AAGTGAACTCAATTTGCACTATTTCTGGCAGTCTGCAACCCCCCGTAGGACTCAAATTTTAGTCCAGGCATACATTTACAGGATATAATTGGGGAACCGGTTTTTTATTTAACTATCTACGGTGAGCCTACCTTATCAGTAGGCTAGCTATCTGCATAATGGAGCATCTGCAGATTGCCACACCACATTTTAGTCAATGCAGTGGCATCACTAGGGTGGTGTTATGGTACGGTCTGCACCAGATGACACCTCATGAGGAGAACAATGTGACAACACCAAGGAAGACCAAGCACATCTGCCATAGCTCGGAGGCACCATCTCATTCTCCTTTTATGTTTTTGTTCTCCATCTTGTGTGTGTGTGTGTGTGTGCGCATTTAAAATTCCCGCTCTCACTCAGTGGGGTAGCAAAGGGGCAGAGTGGAGCCAATAGACTGACAGGCAACCAATAAGGGCTATTGGCTGATAGGCTGGTACATGCTGGGAAGGGGGAAAGAAACCAGTTTGCTAGGGGGAAATGTGTGGTTGGTTATGCTGACCCGGCTTTGCTCTGTCTGCAGACCCAAAAAATGCAAGGTGCAAAATGTTTTTTTCCATCTGTGTAGACTTGCCCCCTGTCACTTCAAACTCAAAATAAATGACAGATCCCTTTACAAGGCTTCGAAAAGTCAGAGGAGACAGCTGCGGGGAGGTGTCATTTCATAACATAAAGCTGCCAGTGACCAATTCAAATATTTCTGTGTTATGCCAGGTTATTACCCCTGTACCATAAGGCAGCTGCTTGCATCTCCAATATTGACCTGGCACATTTTAAGGCCCAGCTGCTCACAACACCTGAACTCCCATGGTGGCAGATCTCATGCCACAGGTAACAATACCATTCTGGGTTTTTTTCCCCCAATGAACATCAAATGTTAATGTTAAAAACAAAGCATCCTCTTGTAGTCTGATTTTTTCTGCTGGATGGTAGGATGATGACATTTATAGTCCAACACATCTGGAAGGCACTTGAAGTGGGGCTTGCAGGTTTGGAGGATGCATTTGTAGAGGAAGGGTGGTGGGGGTCAAGGGTCATACCAGAAAAAGAGGGTGGAACAAATAGGGATGGATGAATCAGACTGCATCCACACTTCAGGAATAATCCAGGTTGACACCACTTTAACTGCTATGGCTCAAGGCTATGCAATTCTGGGAATTGTAGTTTTC